TGGTTGTATCGGCTGTTTGTTTTAGTCTTTTACAAGTGCTCAAATATAACTAAAAATTCATACTTGATCTAAACGACAGAAGGAATAATTAAATTAACGGTAAACAAAACTATAATAAAAAAAGTAAATTTCGCTATCTCGCAAGATTCGTTCAGATTATTGTGTGCTTGACGTGAGTAGTATAGGCAGGTCAATTAATTTTGTTTAATTACTTGAAACACAAAACACTGCCTTTTGCATCTTAAACTATGTGCATTAAAACTTAAAATAGCACACCCATACACACACATTTAAGAGTCGAAGCATAAGTACAGTAGTACTTATAATAGGAATGTGCCAGATGTGTAATGTGTGCAATACAAATTAAAATCTCGCACACTGCCAATAGCATGTAAATAAATCTTTATAAGCACTTTACACACACACTTTTAAGTAGTGAACAAACAAACTGCACAGTGACAAGCCGCCAAAGCACTTGAAAAAGACATAGCTCTCTCCCACCTTCACCTTATTCAAATTGAATTACGCTACCTTGGTTAAAAGTATTTTTCTTAGTTTTACTCATAACTTTTGTAATAACAAGTAAGAGCAATAACCATTTTGCAAAACTACTAAAGAGCTAACAATACACTAATAGCCATATTCGTAATCATCCTCTGTGAGATGCCAAGTAACAATCCGCTCTCATATCACGTGCAGGTGCATCAATGCTTATGTGCACATGGCATGTTATCAGCTAGATAATATAATGTGTACTTCTTAGAATCTCTACATTTAGGTTATAAGTATGATATAATATTTGAAAGCGAAGTTTAAATACTGTATGTCTAACTCGAAGGTTCTGTGATGGTTCTCTTTCTTTTTTATATCAGTGAAACTATTGTTTGTGGTCTTTGCGATGCAAGGGAATATGTGATACAAAATTTTGAACCTGTAGACAAACTTGTGAAAGTGGTGCATGCAAAAACGAGAGCATGTTTTCGAGTGGATAAAATTAGGCTTTCATTCCAAGAATTTGATAAATGTTGGTGTCCTAAATCGTCACTTCTGTTCCAAATATGTTGAAATATACTTTAGACATATTTTTCAATTTGATAACATTTGGTGTATTCATCAATGCAATTTACTTTTCTTTATATACTGTTAATACAGTATATAAATACAGTTAATACTGCTAAAGTTTGTGTGTATATATAGTATTTGCATAAAGTTCATTCATCTTGTTTAAAATATTATTTATTCTTGCTTTTAATTATTTTTTTATTATTTGTTATCATTCATTTTGTTTATTATTTGTTAATTTTAAGGTTACATTTTAGATTATGTAGGGTTTATTTATGTTTGCTTCTGTCCAAAAGGTTCGTTGACGCTTACGAGGGGTGATAAGGGGTTTTATAACCTTTCTTCATGTCCCATAATTCACTATTCTTCTTCAGGAGAATAAAGAGCATTTATTCTCCTGAAGAAGAATAGTGAACTATTCGAAAGCGCTCGAGTTTTCGGTTTCGTTTCAAAACCATTAAAACTTTTCTATGTGATCCTGTGTGATTCTTAACCAGAATTCATGTCCCAATTTTAGTTACTTCATGATGCAAACAGTAAAATTTTGTGGTTAAATTTAATGTCAGTAAAGTAAACTCTGTAGTTACATAGTTTCCTTCTAGTTCTCTGTTTTTGCCACAAAAAAACACTGAACACAAGAACGATAAGTTGTATAATTTACCTTTGCATTGTTTTCAAACAAAGTGTGACATATTGACATCTAAGGTTGTACTTGAAACAGTGCGATTTTTAAAATATACATTTCAAGGAACCAAACAAAACGAGAGAAAATGGAAAAAATATTTTCATTATGTTGCGACAGCGGAAGTCACGTGACGCTGGTAACACGTGATGATATTCTCGTAGGATCATGAATTTTCCTGGCAACTCTAGTCTGTTCCAGGCGCCCTCTTTTTTAGTATATAAGCCCGGCAAATAAAGCGATGGTAGAATAGATAGATATATAGAGATATATAGAGATATATAGAGAAAGATAATTGAGTCAAGCAAACAGTAGGCACCGTAAGAAAAGTGTGTGAATCACTGTGATTTATAGCGTGTGTTTATAAAAATAGTTAAGTTTAAAGTAACTGTGGAAATTCTGTATATTATAAAGTTGTATCGGGAAAGAATAAACTAGTCTTAATTAAGAAAGGACTTGTATCGCTGAAGTTCCTCGGAAAGAATCTATACTGGAAATAAACAAACGAGCAGATACGCAACAAATTGGTGTCAGAGAGTGGAATGGAAAAAAAAAAAGAAAATGGAAGCGAGAAGTGGCAAATCAAACTACAGCTTAGCAGATTTGATGGCAGCAATACAAGAACAGCAAAAGAAACAAGAAGAACGAGAAAAGAAACATGAAGAACAAGAAAAGACACAAGAATAGAGATTACAGCAGTTATTGGAGGAAAAACAAAAGAAACAAAAAGAGAGACAACAGCAGTGGCAAGAAAACCTGCAACAGTGGCAGCTCGAACAGCAATGTAAACAAGACAGATTATATCAGTTGTTGGAAGGAAAAGAAAAGAAACAAGAAGACAGATTACAGCAGTTGTTGAAGGAAAAAGAAAAGAAATAAGAAGAGAGACTACAGCAGTGGTTGGAGGAGAAAGAAAATGAACAAGAAGAGAGACTACAGCAGTGGCAAGAAAACAAGCACCAGCAGAAACTGGAACAAGAAAGGAAACAAGAAGTACAAATAGAAAAGATTAGTAAATTTCAAAGTAAATTAAATACATTAAAGGATGATTTACTGTCTTTTGCACAATGAAAATATATTAGCCATGGACCTAATCAGCCTCAGACAACGAGAAGCTCCCTTCCAGCAATAGGGGTGATATAGTATGAAGGAAGCCACAGGAAATCGATGGGAAGGCACCATGGGAAGCATATAGAGCACAATTTGAGCTCATGGCAGAAATGAATGGATGGACAGAGGAGCAGAAAGCAGTGTACCTGTCAACAAGCTTGAAGGGACAACCACTGGAAATATTTGGACAGTTGTCAGTAAACGACAGGCACAACTATAGAGCACTGGTAGCTGCTCTAGAACTCAAGCATGGAACTCCAAATCAGTCCGAACTCTACAGGGCTAGGTTTAGGACGAGAGTCCATGCTAAAGGGGAGAGCCTGTAAGAGCTGACACAGGAGTTGGAAAGTATGGCACACAAGGCCTACCCAACTGCACTACCCGATGTCCTCAAGCTGTTGCTGAGGGATCAATTTGTAGACGCCTTGGACACTCCACAACTGAAGATGCAAGTGAAGCAAGCACATCCGTCTACTATACAAGATGCAATCGCCAGATCTCTTAAATTCGAGTCCTACGTTAAGTCTAGGACAGAGGCATCAAGGTTGGTTCAGTCATCAGGATTCAAGGCCAAAAAAGGACTCATACTTGCTGCCATGAATTGATGATACTCTTGATGCCCTAAGTGCCAGATGGTTTTCAACTCTAGACTTAAAATCGGGTTTCCATTAATTAAAAACGGCTGAAGCAGGTAAACCTAATACTGCATTTAGTTATTGCCAAGGTCTCTGGCAATACTGTGTGATGCCATTCGGGCTTAGCAATGCTCCAGCAACGTTTGACATGCTGATGGAAAGAGTACTGGAAGGCCTACAATGGAGGATAGCCTTAGTGTACCTGGACGATGTCATTGTATTTGCAACAACGTTTGATAAGGAAATGTCCCAGCTGGAGGAAGTATTCAAGCGTTTGAAAGCAGCAAACCTCAAACTCCATTCCCAGAAATACCACTTGTTCCAGAAAGAGGTGCTTTACTTAGGCCACATTGTTAGTGAGAATGGTGTACAAACTGATCCTGATGAGGTGA